ACTGTCTGCGGACAAACGTCGGCTCCCTCGTCCAGTAAAGCGAGAGGAGCACCACAACCCCAGAGTTGTTCGCGACTGGACTTAACTGTCAGGGGTCCCTTACCTTTACCTTTTACATGCATGGTGGATGGTATCCATCGAAACAGTTTCACTAGTGCCAGGAGTTTTAGCTGTGCAATGGAACTTCCCTGCCCTCTTATCTCTTTGTGTACCTCCAGCATGCCATGAAAATAAGCCCGGGAAACAGATTTAGGGAGTGCATAGACTGGGCAAGGAGAGGGCAGGAAAGTTCCATTCTGCAGCTGAAATGCATTACTCTACTGGGACTGTTTAGTTGGCTACCACCTGAAGTGTTGGGCAAGTGAAGGCTTGCAAGCTCAAACTGGTTCACTTTGCCCCTTTCAGTTCAGTTCAGTTGTCCACCAACAAGCTGCCCACCCACACCCTCCTGAGATTCATGCTCAAGAAGTGTGAGAATCAGATGGCGAACAAAGGAGCAGATTCTGCTGCTCGTACATGCTTCTGTCTCTCCCATGTATCTTGGTGTGATCAGCAAGAAAGAGACCTCCTTCAGACAGGAAGCTATCAGAAATTAGAACAGTGTTAACTTACTGTTTTCATGGATCTCCCTGCATACTACAAGAAATAATTACCTGCTCTGACTTGAAAATCCCATCTTTGCTCTAGCCCATCCCATAATCTGCTCTCTTCTTGCTTCCTCAACTGCTATGCTACCTGGATAACTTATCAGACCGTTAATAAAAACAAAAATATTTGAAGGTGGTTTTTCTACCTTTTCTTGTATTGATCTCTATCCTGGTTATTGCCATGTGGTTTCACATTGGAACTCTATTTTGTGATGGTTCTCTGTAAAGGAGGGGGAGGTGTGTTGAACAAAAGGTGAACTGGTCCGGAAGCTCTGCAAACACCATCTTGGTAGTCAAGATGACCCCATAATTAACTGGTAGTTGTTGTAACCATATATGTAAGCTCATATATGTTTATATTCACTTGCTTTGATACAGCTTTGATGCTATCCTTATCTGTGGGCTTGGGGTGCTGGGCTCTGACCATTTGTAAGACTTGGGTATTTGCCATCTATGTCATCATCTGGTCAGGTGAAGCGATTGGAAGCCCTGACCAAAGTGACGCATCCTGCTTTGTGTATAAAGAATGTATGAATGTTTCCTTCAGTGCAGACAAGCCATCTCCTTGCTGTGGTCTTCATCCCAAATCTGTAAAGGCTGGGGGACCTGGCAGTCTGATTTGCTGTAAATCTACACCTTTCTTTAATAAAGCACTAGAACTGATCATTCTGATGTTTCTGACATCCTTCTTTGGTATCCCTGCACCCTGCAACCACTCCCACTGTCAGCCGCGTCCCATTGCTGACAGAGGGGGAGAGCGTGGAGAGACTGGAGGAGGTAATTAGGCGGGAATGCGGAACGAGGGAGGAGCAGCCTAGTTGCAGTAGAAGCCTGAGCTCCAAGAACAAGGAGAAGGAAGGGGGAGTCTGGTAAGACACAGGGACCTCTCATGCCCGAGGGCCGGCGGAATTCCTCTCAACTGAAGGGAATCACAGACGGAGGCTGGGTCCTGGCCGCCACGGCAGCGGGACTCTAAAAACCACAGGCGGAAGAAGCCTGTGGGCGTGGACCTGCTGCAGCACCGGAGCGCTCCTGGCACAGGAGCCAACTGGGCCCGGGCGGAGGTGCGTGGTGCTGTGGAGTCGACTGCTTCTCCGTGCAGCATGCCGCACTGCCGCTGGAGAGCGCTGCCTTTTCTGGACACTAAGACCAAAACATCAACCTGAGCACCTGGATCCTGGAAGAGCTGGAACTACTTTTAAGATTGGTGAATAAATGGGGCCTAACATTGACTGGAACTTGAAATTAAATTTAACTGACTGTGGAACTGAGGTTGCTCAAAGATAATGCTCTGTTTTTTTACACAATAGCTAAAGACAATATACTAAAGCCTGGAAAACCAACCTAAGAGGAGAACTAAAATTCAACATCTAAGACTTCAACCTTTTGATTGCAGGAAAGAAGGGCTGTTTTGATCTTTTCAACTCCTATGAAGTGAGTTTAAAATACAGAATTTTCCACCGTCTGAACCAGAAGGGCTGTCAGAACTGACGTTTGAAGCTTATCCTAGCCTGGAGATAAAGGAAAAGAAGGGCAACATCTTGACTCACTGCCTTTTAAACTGGGAAAGGCCTGGACAAAGTGTTTCGGCAAGATCATTGTTTTTCTCCTAAAAAAAAAAAAAGGGTTTCATCTAGTGGAAACTGGAGGTAATTGCACGGAGCCAAAAGAGAAGGACCATTCTTTTGGCAATTTTTTTCTGACCTTGGATGATGGCACGGCTGGCATAAAGGCTGAGCCATGTTCTCAAGGCTTTGCAAATTAAGTGCCCAGCTGACCAGATGCACAGATCGACTCTGATGATGACGTGAAGTCACCAGAGCACAGCAGCAACAACAAACTAGCAAGTTCATGCTGTTAGTCAAGGAACTCAAGCAGCGACTAGAGGCTTCAGAGATGGAGGATCTATGGATGGCAGACTCAGCCTTGAACTTGATAATGAACTTGGGCACAAACCTGATTCAAGATGAAATGTGGCTGATTTCAGCCTGGGGGATGGACTGACACCCTCTATATGGCTATTTACCTTCCAGTTCAGGGATGGCCATCAGATATTGGAGTAGTCAAGTCTTCAAGTTTCTTCTGGAAATGGAATGTAATATCGCTGTCTGGCTTGGCAATGGGCTGGGATGGACTTACAAGAGTCAAAAGCATCTTCTTTTGCTAGAGCACCATTATTTGAAAGGCACATCAATGAGGAAGGAAGGAAGGAAAGAGACTTGAGGGGCTTTGGACACGAGACAAATCCAGGTTAAGGAGCCGGATTATTGAGGTTAAAGGACTGGGGACAATCCCGGGACCAGGGGAGGGGAGGCTGGAAGGACTGGACTGGAATCTGACTTGATATTTCTTTTCTTATTTTTTAATATTGGGAATGTTTATAAATGTTTGAAGGATGTTGAATAGTACTATATGATCTTAAGTATGATTGGCAAATGATCATGTGCCACGATGTAAGAAATTTACAATATGAACATAAGCTTGAGTTTTAAAGTTTTTAAGGACAAGAGGGAAAAATAGAACAAGGAAACGCAATGATAGATGGTTAAGAAAAAGGAAGCACACAAAAATTAAATACCAAGATGTCAAGAGAGGGGAGGAGGAGGAAGTCTAGAAAGGAAGTTAATGGAGATCAGAAGGATTTTATATTTCTGTTTTTTTTCTTTTGCGGCTGGGTTTTTTTATTATTTTTGTTTTTTTTTTGTTTTTTTGTATGTTCAAACTTTTTTGGAAATTTTTGTTGTTATTTGTCACTTTTTGAAAATTTAATAAATATCAATTTAAAAAAAAAAAAAAAAACAAGGGAGAAGACACAGACCAACAGTTTTAGCTCAGACTCAGAGGGAGGGCCACTGGAAATAGCCCATCCCATGACGTGTAGGTGTGCAAGAATGAATGAGGGGCATGAACAGGAAAGGAAGCAAAAGTGGGGCTTTAAATGTGGGAAGAGGAAGGGGCAGAACTCAGACTCGGCAACAGCTAATTTGGAAGCAGACGCTGAGTGACTGAGCTCCAGAGTGATTTGTGTGTTTTGAGCAATAAACCTGAGTTAATTACTACCGGTGTTGTTTCGCTTCTTGGGAGAGACCCAACCATTACACCCACAAGGCCTCCTTTGGACCTGCGGTTTAGAACAGGAGGAGAAGCTTCTCATTGTGTGTTTACAGGTTCCTTTTAAACTACAGCCAACTTTCCAGCTTGGATCTATTACTTTGGGAATGTTGTTATTTTGAAATTAAAAGTAAAAACAAAATAGGATGACTAAGAAATTTCTCAATTGCTCTTCTAATAATATTCAAACAGTGACTCAGAGAACATTAACCCCATACAAAATTAGAAATATTTTTAATAGTGCAAAGACGAAACCTAACCTTTCAAAATTGCCATACAAGATGTCAACAAACTGCATCTCTACTTTTACCATTTTTCAACAGTTTTATTGCTTTCTCAAAATAAATATCCTTCCCCACAAGTAGAAATCCATACTGTCTTACTCTTGACAAAACAATATTGACATAGAAGAAATTATTTTTAGATTACAATTTAGAAGTGGCCATGTTTAGCATCCTACACTTTCTTATAGACTAAGGATAAAAGTCGAGTAATATATGAATTAAGGATTGCCAAAATTTTGCTTTTCTATATTGATTTCCTTAAAACTTTACCTAGCATTATGTTTATAAGAACATCTGTGGAATGTTTATCTGGGTAAGTATTACAAGATTTCAGTCAAACACAAAATTCACCCTAGCTTTAAATGTTTGGAAATCAAATAAATATATTGTTTTTTTAAAAAAGAATGTTCTCTCCTTTATCTCCAATGGACACTTAGGATTAGAAAATTGTTTTATCACCCTTAATTTTCAATTTTTTCAGTTTGCACAGTTAACTTATGCATTAATTGTGTCCTCATAGTTAACATCATTCAGTTTCTTTTGCTGTTCTACTTGAACCTTCTAATATAGTCGATAATAGCTTTTACTTTTCTAAAAATAAGTTTCTGTTTTTATATTTCAATCTTTGAGCTGCCAATTTCTGCTAAAAATATTTATCATTGTCCTTATAGTGTAACTGGAGACATGAGATCCTCATAGTTCCCTGTATCATTTTAATCAGGTCTGTTATTAGACTGACAAGCCATTTGATCAGAAAAAAAAATGTAGCCCAGTTAAAGAAAGCAGTTCATAGTCTTTCACCAATACCTGAACCTTATTCAAACCACTCACTGCTCCATTGCCCTATCAATTCAGATCATGTTCAATTCATCAGCCTTTTGAAGCTTGAGTAAGTTACTTGAAGCTTGAATCACAGAGTTGGAAGAGAACCTGAGGGCCACTTAGTCTAACCCCCTTTCACCCAATGTAGGGCTCAAACCCACAACCCTGAGATTAAGAATCTCATGCTCTACCAACTGAGTTATCCCTTAAAAAGCTAAACTGCTAAAATAAACTGCTGCCTATCTGTAAAGCATTCCAAACACCACATCCAATACACACAAAATGATGGTTACAGAAACATCTTCTATAGCTATTACAAACCAACTAGCTACTGAACATGCAGAAACCAAAATACACCATCTCCATAGGACCTTTAAAACATGCAGAATGCATGGGAGTAATATTTGCACAGGGCTACTTTGAGAAGGAACTCTATTGTGGTATGTGTCTTGTATTATCATCCTTTGGATAGAAGGGGTTATAGTCTTACCAGTAAATAGTAGTTTTATTTCTTGTGGACTCTACTAGTGGCTCATATATTTATGTATTTTTATTTGTTCCAAAGGCAAATCATTGCTTCTCTTTCCAATTCCTAGACCATATCTTGATCCATTATTCCCTTTGGTTATGACTTAGCCAAAGAACTTATTTTGCTTCCTACAATCTCTTTATCTTTTCTAAATGTGCGTTTTACTAACTCTCCCCTGGGTTTCTGGTACTTAAAAAAAATACTATGATTGGTTGTATTATGTCAGGTTGTTTATTCTGAAACTTTCTTCTTAATTTCCATTTACGTCTTGTCCTTGCAGAGTTTACGTTGTGTTCCATTAGGCTTGCTTGCACTGAATGTCTAATTTTAAAGTATTTTTCTTTGGCTTTCAGAAGCTCACAAGTCTTCTATGCTTGGCTCTTCAACCTATTTTTTTCCCTTTCTCTCTTTCATTTGCTCCTGGCTGTTCAATTTTAAATCAGGGGTCTGATGCTACCTCCTGTGATCCACCTACTAATCTTGTTCCCCAACCCCTCTTAATTTTCTTAATTTTCCCTCCAGTTCATTTCCAAATAACCTGGGGCACATTTCAACCACACGTAGGGGCAGCCACCTACATGGAAAGAAAGAAGCCTTAATAGAGTGCATTGTTTTGTTCCTCCATGCGTGAAGGTTCACTAATATCATATGACAAGCCTGTTGGATCAGGCCAATGGCCCATCTAGTCCAACATCCTGTTCTCACAGTGGCCAGCCAACCCGTTACCTGTGGAAAGCCTGCAAGCTGGATATGAGCAAACAGCACTCTGCCTGCCTGCACTTCCCAGCAACTGGTATTCAAAGAGATAGTGCCTCTAATGGTGGAGGTGCAACATAGCCACTGTGGCTAGGAGTCACTGATAGCCTTGTTCTCCATGAATTTGTCTAATCTTTTTTTTTAAGCCATCCAAGTTGGTGGACATCACTGCCTCCTGTGCGAGCGAGTTCCATAATTTAACTATGGAACAGGAGGTCAGTGTGTGCCCCCGCTATCTCCATCCAGTCCTCCTCCTAGCCAAGTTCATAGTCACGTTGAGGATTGAATGGAAGAGTTACTGAATATAAAACACAGAGACATTATACAAATCTATGGTTCAATCACACTTGGAATGCAAAGTATATATACCACTTGGTTGCAATCAAACCTCAAAGAAAATGACCAGGGGACTGGAGCAGCTCCCTTATGATGAAAGGTTATATGATGTTTGCATTGTTTTAGGTTTGTTTTTGGGGGGGAGTGTAAATAAGGCAGGGGGCAGGGGTGTGATAGAGGGGTGTGCTAGAGGGGGCAGGGGTGTGATGGGAGTAAAATTATGCATGGCATGGAAAAAATGGATGGGGGGGAAATCTCCCTCACTTAAAAGGGAATACTTCTTCTCACAGCACAAAGTAAACTTACGGGATTTACTACCAAAGTATGTAGTGACAGTCAGCAACTTGAACAGCTTTAAAATGGGATAAGGCAAGTTCATGAGAACAAGTCTATTAATGGCTACGATGACCATATTACCACCAGTATTAGAGACAGTATTTTTCTGAATACCAGTTGCTGGAGATCACTGTGCTCATGTCTGGCTTATGGGCTTCTCATAGGCATTCTGTTGGTGATTGTGAGAACAAAATGCTTTCAGTCAGATAAGTAGGGTACTTCTTGGGTTGATGGGAGTTAGGGATGTATCACTACACAACCTAAGGAGGTGGATGCAGAGGCACAGTCTCATTCTACATGTGATGCAATGCATGCATGAAGGGGACTTGGGGGTCTTATCAGGAGCCCTAAAAATTGCCTCCATTTAGGGATTGCATACTTTTGACTGTCAAACATAAATTAGCAGGATCAAACAATACTCATGAGCATCATTTGCTTGCAATGTCTGAGAATTTATCTGCAATGTGTGCTTTAAAGGTAAAGGGACCCCTGACCATTAGGTCCAGTCGTGACCGACTCTGGGGTTGCGGCACTCATCTTGCTTTATTGGCCGAGAGAGCCGGCGTACAGCTTCTGGGTCATGTGGCCAGCATGACTAAGCCGCTTCTGGCGAACCAGAGCAGTGCACGGAAACGCCGTTTACCTTCCCGCCGGAGCAGTACCTATTTATCTACTTGCACTTTGACGTGCTTTCGAACTGCTAGGTTGGCAGGAGCAGGGATCGAGCAATGGGAGCTCACCCCATCACAGGGATTCAAACTGCCGACCTTCTGATCGGCAAGTCCTAGGCTCTGTGGTTTAACCCACAGCGCCACCCGTGTCCCTTAATGTGTGCTTAGCCACTGTTTATTTATTTAATTTAGTCATATATTACACTATCCCATTGGTTTAGAAGAGTATGTGCTAGGTTTTTTTTAATATCTTATAAATACCAATAGCTGTATCCCCAACGGCCTCACAATCTATTGGGATATACCATTCTGAATTAAGAGCTGGTCCATATGCTAGAAGAGCCCTCTTCATAGGAGATTCATGTGCAGTGACAGTTCATCCTGCAGAGCAAGATTATATTCACTCAGCAATCTGTGCTGTCCTTGTGTACATGAACTGTACTCATGTAGGTCCTGTTGTGCATGGCCAGGGGACCTTCACAAACCAGAGTCTACTGGTGCACATAAAAAACCCAGCAGCTGTACAGTCTGCACGCAGGTAGGGGTTGTACTGACTTTCAAGTGAACTCTGTAGTCTGGGGGCAAGACTTGACAATATAATCCCATTCTACCCAAAATGTGATCGCTGTATGCACAACTGTCATGTGACTAATGCTACCAGGGAATGAAGAAATTGAACTGTTTTGATCTTCATTCCACCAGTACTGCTGCAAAGTGTCAGGTAGGGTTCATTGATCTCAGCTGCACAGAGCTCAAGATGACAGAGGTGAGAATTATCATCTTACTTTGTGCCTTACATTAGAAATGGGGAACAAGCATATTCTCTCGCACACTACTTTTCTCCTCACTTCTAGGTAACATATGAAGATTTGTCTCCAACAGTGGCCAATGAGTCTCTTATACAAGGAACCAAATTGTAGAGAATGGCTGAATCTTCAAAGGTCAGATCTGAGTAAGTATCTGGACCACAGCTTCTATAATTCCAATTTTATTTTAAAATAGCAGACCCCTCACCTATTCAAAGCCTGCTCAGTCTTTGGTTCTTAAAGGTAATGTATCTAAATTTACTCACCCTACTGGACTGTGCCCCTGTGAGGATGTGGATGCAATGGGGATGCCCATTTCACACAAACACAGCTTGGTTTCCAGATGTCACATGAGTCAGGCAGCCTTCCACTGTGCTTTGTTTTCAAATGCTCAGGCTCCCTCGCCAAAGAAAGGCTCCTCCATTGTAAAGCTGTTAAATGAAAACCTTTGCAGCTGTCATAGCTGCTCACTGCCTCAGTGCCTGCGAACACCACTTGGCTCTCGTGCGTTGATGCATTTACTGTACTGGTAATTAATGCCGTTAGCTTTGTAATTAAAAAAAACCCACAACTTTTTGCCTTTATACTTGGGGTGATAACGCTGCAAGTAAAAATTAATTAAAATGAGACAAATTGCCTTCAGTTGAATGAAATGGAAAGGGAGGCACAGGAACTGGGGGCGGATGAGGGGAAAGGCACCAGGGCCCTGCTAATGAAGCAAAATGAGGCTGTCGGCTTTGAGGAGATTCTTCCTCTGCTTTTCTTCTCTTCTGCTAGGTTCCGGTTTAGTGGAGCCTAAAAGTATCGGCTGGCAGAGAGAAATTGTGAGTCATGGGTGCCCATTGTTTCGGCCACTGCTGACCACTAACACAAACACCCATCTTTGTAGAAGCCACTCCCTCTTTCTTTCCCTTCCCTTTACCTGGCTGTGTGAGGTAATGGGCTGAAAAATTGCCTTTTCTATCATTATTAATTAGATCTAATGTCGGGCTTCTTATTTTTCCTGTTTGAAGTAGGGGGAAAGCAGCTCTAAAAGATTCTGCACATTGTAAGGAGCAAGGCCATTACAGGAAACACACAGCCTGTTTAAGCCAAACCTCCTGCTTTAGGAACTTTGATGTGAATGTAACATGGTTCTTCTCCCTGCTTAACCCTCAGTCCTGACCCGGACAGTTTTCTTCTTCTAGTACTTGGATGGACCCAGAGGCAAGTAGATAGAATGGCAAATACAATCATACCTTGGGTTGCGAACGCTGCAGGTTGTGCGTTTTCAGGTTGTGGACCGCGCCAAACCCGGAAGTTCCGGAACAGGTCACTTCCAATTTTCAGAGCTCGCGCATGTGCAAAAACACAAAATGACATCACATGCATGTGCAGAAGTGCCGAATCGCATCACACGCTTGCGCAGATGTGGCTCTGCAGGTTGCAAACGCGCCTCCTGCATGGATCATGTTCGCAACCCGAGGTATGATTGTAAAGATGAAGGAGTCAGAGATGTTGCACACCCCCCCCTTCTTAAATATGCTGTAATTTTATTGTCGTTATTTCCTCCATCAGCCACTGCTTTGGTACCATTTTAGTTAGTCATCCATCTTAGGATGACCTCAGCCAATCGGGGACTATTTAGTGAATGTGATTACATCAGAATGCTATGCACTAATCAGGCTGACATCACAGAGAGAAAACAAAGTCAATTTAGACCATTAAGGCAACATCACTGATGGATTACATGAATGATCTTAATCAGGAATCACACAACAAACACCATTCACTGTAACCAA